ACCCTTTAACAATCTCTTTGAATACAAAATGGAATCTGAAAGAACGGCGATGCTTCTAGTGAGCTGCCAGATTTATTTCCTGCTTCCCCCAGAAGGTCACTGGGAATAATTATATTTTCTTGTGAATCTGTCTTTTGTAAGGATGAAGCAAAACATTTCAGTCTCCCCAATTGGCACTGTCTTTGGTCCTACAGAAAACTCAGATTCAATCACTCAACAACAACAACAAAAGCCCATAGGAAAAAGGAGAAGCAGGGAGAAAAGTCGTTAAAATTTCTAAGTTTCCCTGTGGTGTTAACAAGACTAAACAAAATTTATGCTTAGAGATAAAACAGAACCCAGCGCCTCTATCTTATAAACCCCAGTCAATATTATGGTGCATGGAAGGAAGAAGGCTCTGAAGCCAGATAACCGGGATTGTGCTACCGGCTTTTCTGCCTTCCATGTGAGGCCTCTCTGAACCTCTTCAGTTGTAAACGACAGGCTAGCTTTGAGAAATCAGAATGTATAGGAAGCCCCAAGCCTAGGGGGCACCTTCCACAACCAGTGAGTATTACTATGGCGCTTTCAACAGTGTACATCCACTTGGGAAAAAGCCTGGAGACCCACAGTATACTAGTGCAGAAAATGAAGCTGTCCCTCTGTAACAGGAGGGAGAAGAGAAGTCAGGAGTTGGCCCGCCACAGCACTCTGGGGTCAAAAGAGCTGTTTACCAACATGACTTGCTTTCACTCTCCTGAGAGCAGCACTGTGGAAAAAGTCCCCCCAGAGACACACAGATGCCTAGGAGGTAGCACGGATGCCAGGATGTTCCCGCATGGTCTGACCAAGCTGCCCCCATCCCCCCATGCAAAAGGCAGCCCCCACAGCAGGAGAGAGGGAGAACGGTTAAAGAAGCAGGGGTGCCTGTCACACTTCTCTGTAACCCCTGACGTGATGTGAAAGTCTACAAGGTAGACCCTTTGAAATGCAAAATCTTCCAGAGTCCTTCAAATGTGTTTTTATTTTCTCCAGTTCCTAAGGCTGCTTTCAGACCCACCCATCATTTCCCCTCTCAATCAACCCACATTTAACAACAACAAAAAACAAAAACAAAAAGGCCAAGGAAAAGCTCAAGCATCTCCAGTCTCTTGGCGGAAAAAAATTCTGTCCTTCACTCTAGCCTCCTGCCATCCCCCTCCAAGACACCATGAAGCCAAGTTTCCCCGGAAGATTTCCTCACATCCTAACTGCCGCTCAGGACCACAGAGAACTTTCTCAGACCGGAATCCAGGTTCCCTCTGACCCAAATTTTTTAAGGTTGACAGGCACCACCAAAACCACAACCTGAAGCTTATAAAATCCAAACCGTGTCCCCAAACCATGTCCACAGGAGGTTTGGATTAAGTATCAAAGAAGTTACCTTAAAAAACAATGTTGTTTGGCAAAGAAAATTACTTCACCATAAGAAGACCCCTAGGGAACAGTAAATTGCTTTTGAATATAGACTTTTCAGTGGCATGGTCATTAATCATGTTAATGTAAACTGCACTAAAACAAAAATTCTCTAAGCAAGTCTCAGGGCACATCAGCATATCTAAGCCTCTGGGTTTGTTTCCAAAGTTCACATCCCAGCACGCAATGAAACTACTGTTAATGGGGTCAGCTATTATGGTGCAGTTCCCAACCCTGGGCCATAATAAAGGTGACTCAGTCGCGCAGAAAGAACCTTCATAAAATTAGGCATGAGATAAATAAAGAAATGAACCAGAGGGCCAGTGATTTTTGGAAAAGTGTTTCCATTCAACAAAATGAAACAGGAACTGTCCCCTGCATGATCAGATGTTCAAGAAAGGGACGAAGGAAGAGAGCCCACCCTGCATCCCTTGGCCAGGCCTTGTTGTGTGAGGTGGAGGACAGGGCGGCAGCTGAACAAGACGAAGACAGAGATGTGGAGCCCAGCAGAGGTACGCTGTTCTGAGCCAGACCCAGCCACGTGCTTCCCGCTGGCAACAAACTGGTTCTTTCAAGAGAGGAGTCTGACAAAATGGACAGCTGCAGCAGAGTGGAGGCTGTGAGGCAAAAATCTCAAAAATGCCCTGAAACTGGGATCCTCTCTCCAAGTTAAAACAAAAACAAATCACCTTTAAGGTTTGCAAGGCCTAGTTAATCTATTAAATAAGCCTTTTCCCCTTGCTGGATCATTAAAGAGAGTCTGTCCACATCTGGTTTCTATCTAAAACAGAAACTTGTATTATCAGCGTATTACATAACAAATTGTGCCTGCAGGTTTCTTTTATTACACATCAGAGAGGTGTGCTTGGTGGTAGTAATGATGGGGGTGGCGCTGATCTGAATATTTGCTTATTTCAGTCTTTCTTTTTAAGGGTAAGTACAAGAAATTTTCATATAGTGTACAGATTAACTCCAGAAAGCCGCACTGTGTGGAAAAACATCAGCTGAACAACTGGAAGGTGGCCCTGGTACCGTGTCCTCAGTGCCGGCTGAACGAATAGCTGCTGGGAAAAGTGTATTTTTTTAAAGAGCTCCGCAGACACCACGTTGCTCTGCAGCACCCCCTGCTGCCAGCTTCCAGTATTTACACCAATTTCCCGTTCTCTAGCCTCCTGAAGAGGAGGAAAGCTAGCTGTCCTTTCTTGAGCTTCCATGATGGGGCAGGCGTCCGCTCACTGGGTCCACTTAAAGGACACCTTGCCCACGAGGTTTCACAGAACTGGGGGCATGGAGCAGCTGGAGTGAATCAATAGTGGGTAAGACAATAAATAAAAGATGAAAACAGACCCCAGGAAACACTATCAGGGACCCCTGCAAAATGTCAGTTAAGAGCAACCACCAAGATGACAGGAAGGTATCTCCAGGCTCTTTCCAAAAGAACTTTATGAACTTCTAAAATACCCTAAGCTGAAAACAGAAGGGAGGAAATTACTAAAAACATTATCAACTAAAAGCAGAGCAATGTCCTCACAGAACAACCCTCGAGGGCACTTTTGCATCAGTGATACTGCTATTGACAATTTGTCTTTGATGCACATCAATCTCACCTTCTTAGGCAAAAATAGTCTTTGCAGAAGACTATTTTAAGTGGTCTTAAAATCACCTTGTTCTCTGAACAAACATTTGGGAGAGAAATGCAGGCCTTCCCCAAGGCTCTCCTTAGACTTCTCGTGTGTAACACACCTAGAAGCTGGATCAGCACATGCCTTGGTCCACAAAAGGGGTGACCTTCTCCAAGTACAGTCATGGTTACCAACCCTGAATTGAACTTAAGATCCAAACCTCTTTCCACTAAAAGGTATAGGTGGCTATGATCTGTTCTGGTCCATGGACACTTAAGGGGGGGGGGAGACTAGACCTGTAATTCAGTATCAAAACCAAGTTACATTTGTTAAGCAGATAAATTAAAATGAAACAAAATCCTAGTCCAGTCATGAATGGCGAGTGTCACAGGACAGGTTGACTACATCCCTTCCAAAGTCCTCAAAGTGGGTGGTATCTTTTAATACAGCGTCCAGGATCTGGAGCAAGGAGGATCTCCCTTCCAGCTGGTGGGGAGTGCTGGGAACACATATGCTAGCATATCATTTGGAAGTCTGCTAATATGTTGAAGCAGCACAAGACATTTGCTTGGCTTCCCAGGCCAATAAACAATGCCATTCCAACTCCTACAACAGTCAATAGAAAACAGTCCCTTTTCTCCACCATCCAACAATTCAACAAACATTTGTTCCTGTTGAACAACCGTCAGCCTAGCTCCATCTGCACCAGCTCCTGCAAGGCGAACACGACGGCAGCAGCGGCACAAATGCCCTGCCCCGGAGCCGGGGACCAGAATGCAGCCCACCGCAGGGGCCACTTTCCCAATACCACCGAGTCCGGATTGCACCGTATGGAAGACTCGAGTGTGGCCTATAGGAGGCAGAATCCCATTCATCAAATGCTGCAAAAAGCTTTTCTTTGTTCACCATCATACTAAGTACATACAGTATGTGTTAACAAACCCGGGCAGTCAGAGGGGAGAAAGCCCGTCATCAGAGGGTGTCGGAAGGCGAGGGCCCCGAGCATGCTAGCCCGCGCATCTCACCCCTGCTCCAGCTCCCTACCAGGCACTATGAGCATTGTTCCCCAAGTCCGCGCGGGGAAGGGGGTGGGGAATCGCGGGGGGGGGGTGTTGAAGACACCTGGGACAGCGCAAACCGCGGACCCTGGGGTTTCCTCGCCTCCTCCGTCCCCACCCCACCAAGAGAAACCCGACCAGGAAACTCGACTCTCACGGGCTTGCAAATCAAGGACTGGCAAAAATGTGACTCGGCCCGTGTGCCTGCGATGGACGGCCCTCCTCGCCATGTGCAAAAGCCATGCCGGCAAGGGCTCCCCCACTGCGTAAGCCCTGGCTGTGGCCACCCCGCAGGCTTTCTCCTCTCAGGGCAGTTTGCCCTCTCACCCCCATCGTGACTGCGATGGCCAGTCCAGCAGCCGCGGAGTCGGCGGCTGCGCACCCGCATCCCGAGGGTGGCGGGTGAAACTTCCGCGAACAAAAGAGTTGTCTGCAAACGATGCGGAACTTCGGGGCGAGAGAGGCCGCCCGGTTCCTGGGGCTCGGCGCCTTCGCCGCTGCCGCGAACCAGGACTCAAGTTGAGACGCGAAGAGAACACCCGGAGCGCAGTCTTCCCCATGCCGGCCTGGCAGACCTGGCCCGGAGAGCGCACACTTTTCCATGACCACCAGCTTGCTTGTTCGCTGGCTTGCGCGCTGACAAGTCTCACGCTTGCAGCGGGGGCGACACTCTGTTCCAGGAGAAAGCACCCGACCCAAAGCAAGGGAGAAACGATGCAGGAAAAAAAAGGGAAATCAACGACATTAGAGCAAAGGGAAAGCAGGCAAGCCCTGCGCGCAAGCGAACTGGGCTCCTCCAGCCGGCGTCCGAGGCGCTCAAACTGGGACCTCTGCGCAGGACCAGACCCCCAACTGCCATTCCTCCGCCCGGCCCCGGGTCGCTTACTGTGCACGGCAGGGCGCTCTGGCCGCGGGCCCCGCGCCGTCACTGCCGGCGCTCGCCAAGTCGTCCGGGTTGCCCGCCGCGCGTCCGCCGCGCGCACGCTCTCCTGCCGGCGCCGAGCGCTTTGTACCGAGCGGCTCCCAGGGAGGAGGAAATCGACTTGTCACTTCCTGAACTGTTTGCAACTCGTCCCTTTAACCCGCCCCGACAAGGCCGTCTCGGGCCGCCGCCACCGCGAAGCCGGCAGACCGCGGCTGCGTGAACTCGTCCTGGCGCTCTGGGGACAGCGTCGCCGACCCGGGCGCTCGGTGGCGGTGGCGGCGGCGGCGGCGGCGGCGGCGGCGGCGTGCAGGAGCCTGGCGGCGTGCGGCTACGGCGGCGGGCGAGTGTGCAGTGCGCGTAGCCGCCTGTGGGCGGGGAGTGGGGGATCGCAGCGCGCCGCCGCGGGGCTAGAGGGCGTCCTCAGAGTTGAGCCGCGCGCCGCTCGCCAAGCTCGCGCTTGCGAGGCCCCGGGACGCGGGAAGTGGCCCCGGGCCCGAGCCGAGTCGCCACCGCGGCTGCCCGGAATCCTGGCCAAGACCCCCGCGGACTTCTCTCCCTGCCCCCCCGCACTAGCAGGAACGAAAGCACTTGGCCGCATGAGCTTCAAACGTCCAGCTTCCGGGTTGTTAGGGGTTGGGGTTTGAAAGAAATGATCATTTCAGTGGCAGGAAAGGCAAAGGAGGGGAGACCTTCAAGTGTTCTCACAGTTGGGAAAATAACGCGCTGGTTTCCTCACTCGGGGCGCGATCAAAATAAAGGAATGTGTACTTCAGAATCCACATCCAAAAACGAAGGGAGGATTTGTGGTTGCTAAGCAGAGGCAGAGCATGTTTAGCTCTGTAACTTAGGATGTTGACTTAAGTTCAGGAATGTAACCCTGATAGAATAAGCAGAGTGTTTTCATTGTGCAGCTCACCTGGGGGAGGGGGATTGTTTTCCTAGTTAAGTGAAGCCCTAGATTTCCCATTACTCCTTTCTACTGCTGTACGTTATTTTATTAATCTTGTATCCAAAAAGATTTTTAAAGATTTTTTTTAAAAAAAAAGAATCCCCTGTGTCTGTTTTGTGTTCTTTGCCGAAAAAACAAAACACCTCATTACATGGATAATGTAATATATTACACCACTTGAATGGTGCTATTCATAAATCAGGAAACTTCTGTAGCTTTTAGAAACCTTTAATTGGTTTTAATCCAATGTTTCAATCCCAGTATCAAGTATAAATGAACAATTAACTTCCAGAGCTCGTGTGCACTTAGGAAACTACTATATTTCTATATATTGTATTGCTGAACTCAATGTAACTATATACTGTATTGCTGGAGTACTTGTCATCACACTGAACCTATTCTTTTCCGAAGAGCATGAGCTAACATCTCCTTTCATCCGAGCTACAGCACAGCCCTGCGATTCTGCTGCCAGGTTAGGATGGACGGCAGTCACCAGGATGGGAACCTAGTCATCTCAAGTACATATGGGATATAATTAGCTCATCCCAAGGAAGCCAGAATGTGCTAATATAAAAATATTAACATACTGATACCCTTCCCTATATACATTACTTTTTTAAGGGAACAAAGCCCAAGAATGAACAAAGGAAGAAATAAGAGAAAATGTGAGAGGACTACTACACTTAGGGAAAAGCATCAGTCTTTCCCTAAAGCTATGTTAATCACAGTATCCCTTCAGCCTTTAAGAGCTTTCAGGATATAGTTTAATTTACTAACTTTTTATTAGGCAGCCTAGAGTGACTCCTGCTGGCAAACATTCAGTTTATTTCTACAATTACTAGTTCATTGGGTCAACTTAAAAACAAGATGTAGGGGTCCCTGGCCTGGAAACAATTACTGCAACCATTAGGATTGGTGCTTTCAGGGCTATTTGGGTCTCTGAAAATCTCAAGGATGGTAGTTATGGATAGCTACTTTCCTGTAACATTTCTTTTTCAACCCAAAGCAGCCTGTTTTTCTGGTTCTTAACAGTGTCTAGAGCTACAATTCCTGTTTAAGGGACTATGCTACTAACCAATGAATAGTTAGTTCTCATTTTCTAAATTTGAATCTTTAAAAGCTAAAAATATGTATATTGAGGCCTGCCTCACTAGGTCTTCCACATGAAATAATGTCTTATAAACTGCCCTCACTTCTTAGTGCTAAATTTCATGGGTACAAAAACTCTTCCCCAAAAGGTTGTTGTATTAAAGTTTTGCTCAATTCAGAACAGTAGACATTACCCAGGCAAACACTGAATTTCAAAGTATGCAAGCTACAGTTGGGGGGAAGGGAAGCTAAACTGTCTACCTTTGTTTCAGTCCTACACAGCCAACCAAATCAGAACCAGATTTAGAGCACAAGCAGACACCTAAACACAAATTCCCAAGCCAATTTAGGAATAAAACCCATAAATAATTTAAAAGTAATGACTTCTATTTTTTCCATTATCTTTGAAGAATACCCTAGAAAACATAAAATGTAGGGTTTACTTACAGTCTCTTACTCCAAGACCAAAATATGAAACCCAGGGATAAAGCACAGAACTACTGGCTCTCTTGGCTTCCCCAAAAGGAAGACTACCAAATAGGAGAATGCTTGTATGCATGGTACGCAGCCTACATCCACTCACAACTGCCAGACAGATCTAAATTGTGTATCATTCTGTATTATATACTCCCCCATTACAAGCTTAAAGCTCTTAAGCAATAGGAAACAATAAGGGTGTATTTTATTAAGAAAGGGTGTAACCAACTATAACTTGTATCAACAAGCTAATAAAAGTATTTACCTAAGCACATTTGAGGAGAAGAGGGTAAAGGTTGGATTTTGATATGCATTACCTAGTGTCTCCCAGGCAGTCACTGGGTATTTTATTTTTGGCCTTTAAAATCAGATAAATGTGATGTTCAAACAACAAAGAGCTAAGCATTGAAGTTTCAGCAAGTACCAGTAAACATTCAGTTTCTCCCATCAAATCTATCTGTACCTACGAATTTACCACTAAAAATTATAAACTGGTTTGAGAGAATAACATACTATTCTTTGTAGACTAACAAAGTGAACTAAACAAATGTCAAACGTGTTACACACTGGGCCCAATAGCAGTATGCAGATGTATGTGCATTAACCCCTGTATTCAGCTTCTAAAAGCCACTGCCTCTTTGTCACAACTGTTGTATTAAAAGCCAGTCATTCACATTTCACACTGTTCTTTCTACATCTGAAAAGATCTTTTTTCAAGCAAAACCTTTTTAAATTGCTTATAATAGATTATGGGGAGACAGACATCACCAAACCCACCTGAGGTGTTTTTCAAAGAACTAGATAACAGAATACATTTCTTTAGAAAATATGGAAAGTTTCTGGCTGTAACTAGGAACCAAAAATATGATCCTAACATGGGAATGACTTTCATATATGAATCTTATTCAGAAAAATAAATTCTGTAATTTTTCCAACATCTATGCCCAGTTATAATAGTCCTTCCTAGGTTATGGTACACTACTCCTATTCTTTTTATCCACTGATGAAAGTATATAGCTCTGGCTAGGAGTACACACACACACACACACACACACACACACACACCATATACTTTAACATTTTTAAAAGATACTCTGGTTCCTGAAGATAAAGTTACTTTTTGCTTCAAGAACTAAATAAAACAAATTCTCATTGGAAAAATAACCACAGTAGTGAATTTAATGATACCAGTCTCACTTCTTTGATACAAAGTAAGAGTTGAAAGCAGCTTGAAGAGGACTGACTATTGAAATGAGTGCATGTGAAGCTGCACCAGCTTTGTAACTGAATGTCTAGCACCATTGAGGTACGAAAGCATGCCAGCTGGGGCAGCATTGTGCACCACAAAGTGTGGGTTGTAAGCCTATGTCCTGAGCACAAACCCTGGTTTCCAAGTTGGCAGGTGCTAAAAACACAGCAAATGTCACGCTTGCAACTCACTGGATGGAAAAGCTCTGGGTAAAGTAAGCTAAAAAGAACACAGTAGCAGTTAAAATTTATTTCTATTTGCTATTACTTTTTTTTTCTTTCTTGGCAATGTCACTAGCTGCTATTGGTACTGTGTGCTATAAGAAAACATGGACATGAAGGGCAGACACTGAAAAGTTTATGCATGTTAATTTTTTTAACATATAAAAAGTTTTTTACCATCTATATTCAGTTATTGGCATATAAAGACTGAACAAATTTTACTATTCTAGTACTAAGATTCAAAAGCAAAAAAATCCATGATCTCAAGGGAAACAGACTCACGCAGCACTGTAACATGGCTAATCACCTATAACCTAAGTTTGCCTTCATTACCTCACCAAAAATATAACTAAGACAAGTGACAATATTTTCATGTTGCTACCATATGTTTAATCTAGAAACTATTTCAATTGTATACCCAGGCTGAAGATTTACATTACAATCTTCAAATAAAACCATTTAAATATCCTTTCTTAAATATTGTTTAAAGAAAATGAAACTTAGTATTTCAGATATAAGCTCAAGCCTTAATTTTTCTCTATCATTTCCCTGTCTTAAAAGTCAGATTCCCAGTACCTAAAAAAGAAAAAAAGTCACTGCTTCAGTAACTTTTTTTTTTTTTTTTTTTTTTTTGAGACAGGGTCTCTCTAAGGCCAGCCTTGAACTCACAAAATAGCACAGATGGTCTGTAAGTGGTAGCATTCTTCCTGCCTCAGCCTCTGAGTCCTGGGATTACAGGCGTGTGCCACTGCACCCGGCCAAAAATTTATTTGTAGTTCATCTCTAATGTTATGATCAAAACTATGGCTCTCCTGACTTTTCCCATAAATATGAAGATTTCCCTTTCACTAGGCAAAAAAAGGAACTCTAAAACTAGGTACAATGATTTTACAGAGCTTAAAAGCTCAATCCAAAGAATGAATCCTTTAGACTTAAAGTACTATAGAAAAAATTAGTGTCTGGTTCCACAGAGTAGAACATTCCTGCGATTGATATGAAAAGAACGTTGCCCTATATACTACCATGCAGATTTAACTCTTTTCAGCCAGTTGTGGATTTACTATACAAAGCAAAAAAGATCTTTTAATTCATAACATTAAAATAGACCAGCCTTGCCCATTTGGTATATGTATAACCCTGTAGCTGTAGTACCTATAACTGAAACAAGAGAATTGACATAAAAGTTAGGTTTCTATTTTAAATACTTTATACTCCTTTAACTTTCACAAGGGACCAAAAAACCTCAAAACTTGCAGAGAACCATGTCAACACTGTACTATTAAATCACCTAATATAAAGAATTAAA